GGTCGTAAGCCACCTGCAATCGACCGACCATCAACCAGAAGACAAGCCCCTGCTTTTCCGTCTTCCAAGCCGCTAAACGAAAGCTACCCTGCTTATTCGTTTTTCCCGCGCCTTTTGGTTGGAATTCTTCTGCCAAAGAAAAAAAACTAGCAACTTGATGTTCTTTTTCTAGGCGAGGAAGAAATCTGGTCAAAGATTTCTGATCTGTTGTCGAGGAAATTGAAATGCTCTGGCGGATCCCTTTTGTGGTAGATCGTACACCCCCTTATCGCAATTCACACTGCTCCGATACCAAATGTAGAAAACTGATAGGAAGAACATATTGGTATGCAGAATAGAATTTTTATTGATGTAAAAACTATAGAGGAATATTTGTGTTCACTAAATATATATAGAGAACAGACCAACATGACTTTTACTAACCAACACAACTATTACAAACCAACACACCTATTAACAATAGAAACTACCCATAACTGCCTTTTAGAAACTGCCCTATTGTTTTTTATTTAAATTAATTAAATATGTAAAACACACTAAACGACACCACACTAATTGACTCTATATTAATTGACCCAAACATCGACTCATTACCCATTTGGTTATATGTGAACAAACCCGATTAAATCTAACATGACCACAACATCTTTAGGCCATATGCTTCTTGTAGAGTTTCCAAGTTAGTGAAGCCCAGTCCTGAAATCCATGGAGGTGATGGTATTGAAATCCCCTCCAAGGATCCAGCCTGGCTCTCATTTTTGCTTTGAGCAATGATTGAATCCCAGAGACTTTTCCTTTCTTCATTAGTGTGTTTACCATAGATACCACATAAGAAGTACTCCTGTCTGGTGGAGTGGCAAGTAAGGTGAGCAGTGAGCATTTGATCTGTGTCTGTGTGGCTTATAAAGTTGTAGCAGGTGTCCTTCCACATTAACCAGATTTTGTTGTTTGTAGAGCTGATAGAGTTGGTGAAAACAAGTTCTAGATGGAACTTGGTTAATTTCTTATTGGAAGATTTAGGCTCAATAATGAAAGCAATGGAGACTTTGTGTTGCTGGATGAGAATGGCTAGTCTCTGAAGTTTAGAGGCTATGCCATTAATATTCCAAAATAGACGGATCATTTATAACTGGGTGGAAGAGAACTGATTGTTGATTGTTTTTCAAGCAATCTTTTTGATGATCTTCTACTGACTGTGATGATTTGTGCTTCTTCTTGCAGGTTTGTATGTGCTTGGTTAGGTTGAAGATCTTTTGAATGGGGTAGTTCCTCATCAGAAAGGTAGGTGACAATGAATTTTTGTTTGGCTTGGGGAAGGCATAATCTCCCCTGCCCATTTGTGCATGAAGTTTTTTACCCCCACAGGGGAGGCTTAGCCAAAGGGAACCAGAGCTTGTCCCGGTCGTGCTATGTTAGGGTGACCGAGAGCTACGCACGGATTGATGAGAACATTAGTACAATTGGCGCTACCATCCAGAGGGAGTACGGCCGGCCCAGGGCAGAACCGGCAGTAGAAGTTGAAGAAGTTGCACAGGACCCCGCAAAGCCTAAGAAAAGAGTTAAAATCAGAAAAACTCAGTAGCGAGAACAGAAGGGACAGTTGGCAAGGGTCCTTCGATCTTTGAAGGTACTATTTGCGTGGGGTCAATCCTCGGATCATCAGCCACCAGCTAGCGGTTGATCCTGCACATAGGCCAGTCAAGCAGAAGAAGCGCTTCCTCTCTTCGTAAAGAAGGGACTTTGTCATAAAGGAGGTAAGTACCCTACAGTCCATTGGGCATATACGAGAGGCTCGGTACCCAGAGTCGTTGGCCAATGTAGTCCTCACACCCAAAAGATATACCTGGCGGATGTGCATCGATTACACTAACCTAAATAAAGCCTGCCCAATGGACCCATTGCCTCTCCTCAATATTTATTAGTTGGTGGATGAGACGGCGGGGTGCGAGTTAATGAGCTTCATGGATGCCTTTAGTGGGTATCACCAAATAAGGATGTCGACAGGCGACGAAAAGACTTCATTCATTACTCCGGACGGAGTTTATTTTTGCAGAATGATGCCATTTGGGCTGAAGAGCATCGGGGCAACCTACTTCAGAATGGTGAACAAGTTGTTTATTCCGGTCCTAGGAAGTTGCATGGAGGCGTATGTGGATGATATGATCGTCAATTCAAAGCAGATGGGATCACATGCATAGGACCTGGATAAGGTATTCAAGATCATGCAGAAGAATCTACTCTGGCTCAACCCAAAGAAGTGCACATTCGGAGTGCAAGGTGGTAAGTTTCAGGGCCATATGGTCAGTCAGAGGGGAATTGAACCCAACCCCAAGAAGGTTAAGGTAATCTTGGACATGGAACCTCCGCAAAATGTGAAAGAGGCTCAGCAACTGATGGGAAGGATTGTTGCTCTCAGTAGGTTTTTATCGAAAATAGCTTATCGAGCGGCAGAAATTTTCCAAACCATTAAGAAGAGCAAGGGGTTTATTTGGAGAGAGGAATGTCAGCGGTCGTTTGAAGGGCTGAAAGCTTACCTTCTCCCCCCACTAGTGATTTTGAAGCCAGAGCTAGGGAGACATTATACCTATACCTGGGTATCTCTCCTCGGACTGTGAGCTCAGTGCTAGTTAGGGAAGAAGAGGGTGCACAACGACCCTTGTACTACGTGGCTAGGGTATTGAGAGGACCTGAGTTGAGATATTCCAATATTGAGAAGACAATCTTTATTGTGGTTTGCAAAGTAAAGAAGCTGACCCCATATTTCCAGGCATATCCGGTACAAGTATTGTCTCAAAGTCCAATTCGGGCCCTTGTCCAAAGCCCGAATGCCCCGTCGCGAGTAAGTAAGTGGGGAGTATTTTTGGGGTCGTTCCAGATAGAATTCAAAACTCAACTGGCGATCAAGGGACAAGCGTTAGCAAACTTTATGGTGGAGTGCACTGCAAGGGACGATTGAGCAAGTGAAGAAACAAATCAAAGCGGGAATTAGAGGACCGTCTACACTGATTGGTCATCCGCGACTGATGCTTTGGGGGCAGAGTCATGGCCATATCACTAGAAGGATTCAGAGCTTACTCTTTTGTAAGGTTTCGATTTAAGGTATCTAACAATGAAACAGAATACGAGGCTCTTCTCTATGGATTGAGACTCGCAGCTTCCATGAAGGCCGATCGGGTTCATGTTAGATGCAACTCCAAACTGGTGGACGGCCACATTATTGGGGAATTTGAAGCGAGGGACGAAAGAATGAAGAAATACAAGGACACCTCACTAGACCTACTCAAGGCCTTTGGAGCATATCGAGTGGAGAAAGTTCCCCAAGAGGAAAATACTGAGGCGAATATCCTTTCTAAGCTTGGGCTGGATTCCCCATAGCATATTAGAGCGATGACACAAGAAGAGGAGATATATGAGCCATGCATCAGCCTCGGACAGGTCCTGGTAATAGCAGTTAATAAGGAACCAGACTGGATCGATAATTGACCGCATACATCCAAGAAGGTTCAGTACCAGTGGATCCGGTTGCAGCCAAGGTCGTCAAGCGGCACGCACCTAGCTACACGCTAGAGTGCGGAAGGCTGTACAAGCAATCATACAATGGGACGTTGCTGAGGTGCCTAAGGAATGATGAAGCGCAGAAGTTGATGGAAGAAATCTATGAAGGGATATGCTCGTCACATCAAGGGGCTTTCACAATGTCCAGAAAAGTGACTTTGCAGGGGTATTTTTGGCTGATGATCATTCGGGACTGTGTGGAGTACGTCCGTATATTACACACCGATCAGAAGGTGCCAGGGCGACCAGCGAAAAATTACACACCGATCAACATTGTGATACCATTTGCTCGCTGGGGATCAACTTGGTCAGTATATGGCCAAGAGGAGCGGGAAAAAACATGTACCTGGTGGTTGCAAATGATTACTTTACCAAGTGAGACGAGGCCGCCCCAGTTCCGACCATCACGGAAGAGCAAACGAGGAAGTGTGTACAGATCTTGTGCCGATTTGGAGTCCCCTACCAGATCAGCATCGACAATGGAACCCAGCTCGAAGCCAAAGGATTCAACGAGTTCCTACAAAGTTGGGGGGTAAGGAACAGTTATGTCGCGGTCCTGTACCCCCAAACCAATGGCCAAGTAGAAGATTCGAATCGTACTATCGTTGATGGCTTGAAGAAAAAGATCATGGAGTGTAAAAGTGCTTGGGTAGAAGAACTACCGTAAATCTTGTGGACGTATAGAACCACCCCAAGCAAAGTCACCAGAGAGTAGAGGAAGGAGGGTTGAAGGGTAGTTCTGCAGCTATGCCACGCGCAACCAGCATCACCACCCTGGGGAAACAACTGTACAGTGAGCCGAATAAGCACCATCGCCTTGCAAGCATGGCTTACCCACATAGTGCACAGGGCCCAACGAAGAAGAAGGGCCATGAAGGGGTTGCTCCAGGTCGCTTAAGAGACTCCCGAGGAAGGGAGGGACCAGCCAATAGTTGCCGAGAGGGTCTCGTCTCTTCCCCCGTAACAATATCTTGCCCTGAATCGAATCGTGCCTCACTTTGGTATGGCTCCGGTGAGTTGGTGCAGCTCTCACAGGTTCATTGTTCCAGGCCCAAGTGGCATTCCACATCTTGCTCCAATAGGGGCTGGTGGTCGCCCTCCACACTCTTCCAAGCCGCATCTCAATCTATCTTGCCAGAAGGGAGGCGGTTGGACTTGAGCTCCTTGTTGGCCTTATTAAAGTCATCATATGGGTTTGAAGGAATCAGTGGTGTCCTCACCATGGACCAATGACGCTGAGGGAGATGGCGGCAAAACTAGTAAGTGAATGCGCTGAGAAAAGAACTGGATCTAATCGATTAATTTAGGACTTTTAATCGATTAATAAGGAAATAATGCGCAAACACAAAGGGCCCAAGGCCAGTTGCAATTGAGAGCAAAATTGGCTTCACACTCATTGTTTGAGACAACGGGAATCAGGAAGCGCTCCTCCTTTTTATTCAATAAATTTAAATAAGGGAGAAAAAAGTGAGTCCAAAAATTATTTTGTGTGTCAAACGATGTACACAAAACATATTTAATGTGCAGGTACCTCTGGAAATCTAAGTCTAAATCCCGGGCACCAGCGATGTACTCCGAGGAACGCCTCTACTACGGCAATGGGTCGTACCTCTGGTTCGATTCCGAGGAGGAGCGCACCCGTTTCCTCACTTTTTTCTCTAAACAGGTTGTGGCTCCCCCACGGATCGTCCCGGAGCGCTTCCCGGACTTGCAGGGCTACGACGATCTAGACGTGCAGCTTCATCAAGCCGGCCTTTGGCCGTTTGTCTCCCGGGCTCAGAAGGAGATCAACCTGGCACTGATCCGGGCCTTCTACTACAACCTCCGGCGTGAGGGCAACGTGCTCTACTCTCTTGTCAAGAGCACGCCGATAGAGCTTTTCGTTGCGCAGCTTGGGCGCATTGCTGGCCTCCCCTACCAAGGCGACGACGTCTCCCACTATGGTGGAGAGGACTGGGTGCTCAACAACGAGGGCCTTATCCTCAACGAGCTTGGCATCACCGAACTCATCCGCCATGCCTCGGGCCGCCCCACCATCCACTCCGCGACCCCCGAGAGCCGGCTCCTTCTCTCGGGAGAGTCTCTCGAGAGGCTGGATTAGCCACAAATTGTGGTGAAGCAGGGTAAATTCGGTGTGCCTCTTACTCTTCTCTTTACTTCTCTTCTATTTATTTTTAATTCCTGCGATTTCTTGATCAAACGTTATTCACCCCCCTTCTAGCGTTGGTCTATTATTCTAACATTCTTGTCGCTAGCAGAGAGCTTGCTCTAGGGCTGGGTTGGAAAAACCGAAAACCGCAAACCAAACCGAAATCAATCGAAACGAGCTAGAAAAAAAACCGAACCAAAAAACCGAAACCGAATGTTAAAAAAACCAAACCAAACCGTTAGTGTTTGGTTCCATTTTGGTTTTCACTTTGAAAAACCAAACCGAATCGAATAAACTGAACTTTCTTAGATACTTCTCTTTGTTTATATCAATATATGTGATATGTTGAAAAATCATAGAAATATAAATACAAATAAATTACTAGTCGATTAAAATTATTTTCTTATCTATTACTTAAACATTCTAGCCATATTATTATAAACTTTAAAAAAATTTAAGAATATATATGAACACCAATAGCTAATCCTAATATATAATTGTATTAAGATTAAAAATTGATACGCGTAATTTACATATTTACATAAAAAATACTTTGATGTTATAATGAAAATGAAAGTATTATACAAAAAATATAAATTCTTCGTAATTAATTTTACATATGATGTCTTTGAAAGTATTTAGAATCTTCTAAATGTTTGTGGGGCACTCAACACATATTTCTTATGTAAAATTGAACAAAAAAGAACAATAACCTTCAGTTTGGTTTTTGTTTTTGTGTAAAAATCAAACAAAAAAACCTAAGCTAACACTGCGTAGTGTTATTGTCTCATCGAGTTAGTGTTTTTTTCAATTTTTAATGCTTATAAATTTCTACTTTTATAAACCGAAGAAACCAAAAAAACCAAAATAAAAACCATATAAAACAGAACCGAATAACCAACGGTTTACATATTTTTTATGCAAAACCGAACCAAACCGAACCGCCAATTTACCTTCCGTTTTGTCTTTGGTTTTGGGTTAAAACCGAACCGCCAAAACTGAACCCACCCCTAGCTTGCTCTTTTGTTGGGAGAGGCAAGCATAAGAGGCCTAGTCCTTATGACCCTTTGCAAGTTTGAAAGTGAAAAAAAAATGGTCCAAATTTGGAGTCACTCCCGCTTCCTGACACTTGATCAGGTAACCTGCTATGCATTGGTTGGAGTTAGGGACTAGTTGGCAGAGGAGGAGATCCACCTCATTCAAGAAATCCACCAGCAGAGGGTGGAAAGGGAATCGCAGACCCCTCTTCAAGGAAGCGAGTTGCACAGTGAAGAACCCCTTGGGGGCATCCAAGGCAGTCTCTGTCTTACTGGGTCGTCGGACCTCAATGGCGGGACCAACCATATCAGTTGTGTCAGCGAAGCCCTGATCCGAGATTTGGCAATGGCACACGGCCATGATGTTCTCCTCAAGTTCAACCCTAAGGCCCAGTAGCTTAGGCTTCGGGGGTAGAATTGTATTCGTAATCGTCATTGTCTCTTACTGGATGCAGCCGCCGGTGACGACTGTGGTGGACTAGAGGAACCCTGATCCTGGCCGGAATTAGTCCGCTAGTCTGGCGGAGTAGGGCTAAGAGACGGTGGTAAAGGATCGGAATCCGAAGAGGACATGGTAGCGAAAGAGGAATTGACCTAGAAGCACGAAAAATGGGTCGGGGCGCAATCGCGGTTGGGGCTGAAGAACAATGAGGAAGGAGGCGTCCAACGGCGGTTTTTATCAGGATTGGGAAGAAGACGAGAAGACAAGTGATGATTGATTCTAGGTAATCGAGCCAACCGTCGCACGAATAGAAAGGGATGGCTCAGATCCGTTGAGGGGAGGCATACGTGGACCTCAGAAACTCCCCATTCCCCAACGTGGCCCATCGGATGAAATGAAGAATTGGGGGCTTGTGATAGACCGTAACCTATCGGGCAGCCCAACTCGTGTGCCCAGGTGCACTTTGGGACTCAGAGACACCCTAAGGTCAGTATTGAGCCGGTCCAAGGCATTGGGCTCGAGCTGACCCGAATAAAGGAGCCGTTGGTAACATGCTTGCTAGGAAGAGTCCGTGGCTAGGTTGCGGAAGATGGGCCACGGAAGTTGGATAATGTAATTTTCGAGATTAGCTCCCATAATAAACAATCATCCTAATTGTGTATACGGATATGTATAAATAGGAGGGACCCTCACAAGGATCCTCAAGAAAAACCTAGCATAAACACTTTGTAATTCTAGAGTTCATCAATCAATAATATTCTTGGGATCCACCCATTGAGTTAGATCATTCGGTGGAATTTTTTTCTATCAGTTATATAGTTATGAGTCAAACACAAAATCATTGATATAATATATTCTATTACAAAATGCATATCATGCAAAGATTTTATCTCAGTGCTTATTACTATTAAACAACTTATTTGAAAAAAAATAAAATAAACTCTCCATTTATAAAAATTTCAATATTATTTTTTTAATTATGTAAATTTTATTTTTTAACTTACTAAAAGAACTCAAGTATATTAATATAATTTTAGTCAAATGTTATAAATTACTATCTTTAGGTATTTATAAATGAGGGAGTCTGTGTGTCTATATATTCCGTAGATACATACATACATACATACATACATATATCTATATATCTATGTATGTATGTATGTATGTATATATATATGTATATGTATATATATATATATATATTTATTTATATTTATATTTATATATTTTATTTTATAATTTTTAAATATGCTTAAACCACCGACTCGACCAGTTGAACAACTGGTTCAACCAGTGCACCAATACTTTGACCGGTTCGGTCGGTCACTAGTCTGATTGTGAAAACTATGATTTTATGTACACTATTTAGATATTTTGCCAAAATTCTTAGTACACATTAACAAAAAAAATAAATTATATAAATGAGTAATGCTTACATGGTCCTAAGGTCCACATTTAAAATCTGGATCTTCTCACATTTTTTATGAGCTTTCATGTGGATATGTTCTATTTTACTAATAAGTTCACCTCCTTTGTGCTACAAATACACTAAGGTCTATAAAATGAGTATGGACCTTAGGTCCATGAAAGAATTTGCCTATATAAATATGTATCTTAACATTAAGCATATCCGCTAGAGGCAAGTTCTTCCGTGGATACAAGGTCCATGCTAATTTTATGTGTTAGACAAAAGTGCAACTCTAGAGGGGGGGTGAATAGAGTTGTTTTCAAGAATGTACGTTTTTCGTAAAAATTATCGCAGGAAAAAGTAAGGAGAATAAGGGAAAGAAGAACACCGGGATTTATACTGGTTCACCACCTCGTGGCTAGTCCAATCCTCCGAGAGACTCTCTCGAAAGTCCTAATCTTCAAGCTTCAACGGGTGCTTGAAAAACCGGTACAACTTGAGAACTTGAATCACACAAGCCTCACTTTCTTACAACAACAAGACTTGAGTCACACAAGTCTTAAGAACAACACTCAAATGAGATTGAGTTTACAACACAAGAATGAAAGCTCACACAATTGAGCAAAGTAGTGTTGAAAGATTTAAGCTCTATGGATGACAACTTCTATAGCACTCAAAGAAAAAATATTTCTAACTCTCAAAAATAATATTTTGATGAGGAAGATGAAGCAAAGGATGAATAGCTCAAAGAAATATATTGGAGTGCAAGAGGTGTGTTGAAATGAAGGAGAATGAGGGATTAAATAGGCTGAGAAGAATAAAGCCGTTGAAGAAAGCTGATGTTCTGTACCAGAGAGAATTAATCGATTAAATTAGGAATTTTAATCGATTAAAGTGTACAGAAGCGAAAAGCCTGAAAAGAAAGCTGAATAATAATCGATTAAATGAAGGCAAATAATCGATTAATAGGCTCTGTCTAAACTAATTGATT